GTGTTGCCTTTTTCACCAGTAAACTCTAAGCTTAGTGATGTGAAATAAAAGAAATTGAAGTCTTCTGCATCTCATTTCTCCACCTCCCTTCTGTATCGCAGCTGCATGAACAAAATTACTTTGCAACTCCAGAGGACAATTTCATGAAGTGCCAGTCACTATAATTGAAAAATTCAAACTAAGAAAATACATGAGCAAAGGGGAGGAAAACTTTTCAGATCACTTTCCTTCTGAAGAATTGTCAGAAGAAAGAGAGTGAGTTAAGAATATCAAGTTTGAAACTTAAGAAGGAACATATATTAAAAATGAAGCCCTAGCAATAAAAGGAGAAATAAAATATCTCCCCTCTTTTGGCTCAACTGTGTAGAAGGGTTGCCTTCTGTTGCTATGAGTTAGCCATTCCTCTCTCTTTGCTCCATCCAGTGCTTCCCAATTGCCAGAGAGCACAGCGTAGGCCCACTGAGGAGCAGAGATTTCTCTAGTTGTGCTCACATCTGCTGTCTGACAGCTACCTTAATGAACATGGTCTGGCTTATTACAGGGAGATGGTTTTGAATGAGTAATCCCATTAAAAAACCCACAAATTTGATTGTGAAGGGACCAGATATAGTGAATAAAAGTTTGTTTACTTTTAAATAAAAGTTGGCTGTTCTTGATAAGCATACAGGTTGGGACAACATCTAAAAATATCTAAAGACCTTGCAGTTACTGTTAGTGGCTTTTAAAAGCAATACTAAATAGGGGATTGAATTTTAGTCTCAGATATTTGTAAAACAAAAACATCTCTTTCGCCTGCAGTGAAGTCACTTTGGAGTCATACAGCTGAATGCCCTGTCTCATCTAATAAGTTGTCCCAAGACTGCTGCAAGCTTTAAGTGAAGCGTACGTGGATGGAGTTTTGGGGCAGTTGGGCTTCTTTTTTGGATAACGACCTAAAAGGCAGCTCTGGCCCACAGTTTTGAAGATGTCTACATATAGCTCTTTCTGCTTTAGAGGAGGGATCTCCCTTGCTCTATATGCTCCCTCGGGTGTGTGTTTGTGCTGGGTGTCCTGTGATCTATAACACAGAAATCGCAATACTCAATCACAACAGGCACTTGTCTAGGCCAGGATCCCGGCTTTGCTGGTGCCGCATCATCTGCTCCAGGAGAAGTAAGAAAATTGCTCGTAATGAATGACTACACAATAAGTTGTCTTCAGGGGAAGTTGCTGTTTACTAATTCCATCAATTAGGCTTGGGTTCATGTCTTGAAGGAGAAAGATTAATATCTTTTGTATAATGTATCTTGTCTACTGCATCTGTTTCTGTTCTCATTAGTTGTAGTAAGGCATAATCCTTTTGTTTTAAAATGAAAATTGGAAACAGTGAGAAATAAGAAAAGATATGTCAAGAGATTTTTGTTCCTTTTTCCTGTCAGTTGTCATAGGGTACCTCTCTGCTGGAGGTGCCGTTGCGTGGTTTAGCCTCATTCCTCTGGGTTTCAGGTGTTTATTTCCAAGATCTCACTGTGGTCCCTAAACATGCTGTTACCTGCAGTTACCTTAGAGATGAATAGGAAAGGGAATTTTACCTCAGCATGGTCTGACGTGCCTTGTCCTATAAAGCACCAGAAATCAGATTTCCTTTTTGCCACTGTGTCACATTACAAGCTGATGCCTGCTCTGTTGCAGTAAGCTCATTGGAGATCTTTTTCACTTTTATTGCTTTATTCGCTGCTAAATAACTGTTTGGAACTTGTTTTGTACCAGCAGTTTGACCTGCTGTACAATTAATTGGAATTTATTTCCTACTCATACTTTTACCCTCCCTGGATCTTTTGCATTATTTTCTGGCTTTTATTGTTTTTTGCAGTAATTCCTTATTAATTGTTACCTGTAAATTTAATGTGTTGCTTGTGTTGTTACCTGTAAATTTAATGTGTTGCTATTTACATTGTCTTCCATGTTGCGGGTCGAAATCCTTGCCTCACAGTAGTCAGAAGGAAGTTTAGTATGGGCTTCAGTAGAGCTGGGATTTCACCTATTCAGTGACACTGCCAGTTCCACGCCACTCAATGAATTCTCTGCAACTCATTGTATTTCAGTTTTTTAAAGGTTTATCTGTATGATGGGGATGGTGGAGGGTCACTAGGATCAGCAGCGTTCAATAACTTTGGGATGCTGGACTTGTGTGTGTGTCTGGTTGGCAATTTCAGACTGCAAAGTGAAAGACTCCTACAACTGCCCCATTTTTCTGCTCTTCACTCATCATTTATGATACGTCATCCTGTATCGCACACTCTTGGCAATAGATCTCGTAAGTCTGGCGACAAAGATGCTGTTTACCAGTTTAGGGGAAAAAAAACCCTAAGCCTTGCTGTTTTTTGCATGTCCTTTGTACGCTTGTATCTGCTTCCCATCTCGCTGCCGGTGCAGCCAGGAGTGCCTCCTGACTTGGTGTTCTGCATAATTTTTTATGTTTGTGCTAATCAGATATAAAATTCTGCAGTGCAAAATCATGCCCTCCATCAGAGTCCTAAAATTTAACAGCTAACAAAATTTTGTCATGGAACAGTGACTAAATTTTACTTTGAGACAACTTTAGTCTATATGATTTATCAGTACCATATCATTTTAATGACCTTTTGGCTTTTTTTAACTACATGCATCAGTGGCCAGATTCTTGTCAATTCTAACTCATTTTTCACCTAAGAGGCACTGTATGATTTTTTTTTAATGGCAGTCATGATATATTTCCTGCTATATTCTTCTTGACTGCTGGTTTTGTAATTCAGTCCAAAAAACTATGATAACTTGGATTTTTTTCCTTCCTTCTTCAAGGGTCAGTAATCTTTCAGATGAAGTTAGGTTAACCAGATGATTAAGTCTATAGCTTGTGTATCTGTAGCTTTCCAGACAAATATCATAATTTTGAAGGATCTTTCTCACAAGACATTATGTTTCCTTTTAAATTTTTTGAATTAGACTAAGGAGAGTGTTCAAATATCCATTAATGCACAATGTAGATGACCATTAAAAACTACCAGCACACTGTGAGTTTTTTAAGCTTCTTGTTCCTGCTTATGAAAAAAAAAATCCTGAAGTAAATGAGTCTGAAAAAGAAGCAACATTTTAGTCAAAAACTGCCCGATGATATATTCAGTTAAGTCTTGCAAGAGAGTACTCCCTGATCTTAATCTGAATCCAGAGATCCCTACAGCATGCAAGAGGAGCTGGACTGGATGCTCTGTCAGCTAGTATTTCTTTTGTGCACGGTTTGTTAGGCTAAAATAACCAGCATAATACATGATAGCTGTCCAGATTGTTATACTTTACATCCTTTTTGAAAGACAGTTATATTGCAGCTGTTTGTTTCCAGTCCGTGGTTTTTCAGAAACAATTGTTAAGTCATTTAGTAAACTCATCAGTTAATTTCCACAGATGTATATCATCTGGATTTACTGATTTGCATAGATTTAGATTTTTCCATTGCAGACCTATTTTTTTTCTCAGATATTATAAAAACCTCCTACAGCTCTTTTAGCAACAAGAGATACTTTTCAAAAGTGGCTTCATCTCACTTTGAAAGAAGGATTTCTTAAAAGTTTATCTTTCATTTGCTGTGAGATTAATGGAATATTCAGGAGAATTAAGGTGGGCGAAATTACGATATGCCTGTGAATATATCTTTGCAATAGCCAGAATAGGTGCAATAAATTGGATATCAGATTAACCTGTCTCATGATGTCTAATCAGCCTCTGCCCTGATTTGGCCTCCTTGAAAATATTATCTAAGATTACAACTACTTTCTTTGCTCTTTCTTTTGGTATAGGCAAAGACTTGCAGAAATAAACAGTATTTAATGTCATCTCAACTAATTCCACAAGAACCAACACAGATGTAAATACAAGTATTTGTAAATGCAACAAAGGATTGAACCCTTAGCTGGAGCAGAGGATGGGAAGTCCTGTGGGCAGATCTGGAATTTAAGCACAAATCACACTGAACACTTTTAATCTCCTGCTTTCTGGTTTCTGGATCATGAATTTGTCCTCTGTATTATTTAGGGAGGCAGCTGATGAGGCACATTCGGCTGTATTTGTCATATACCAGATGTCGGGATAGTTAAAGTCACTCATGCTTCCTCTGTTTTTAAGCTCCTCAGCAGTTGGTCTGGGGATAGTTTGCACATGAATATGAGTCCACACACACAAATACACACACACTATATAATTTAGAAACTACAATGTATGCTATGTATCCTAAATATTTATACGATTTCCTGTACCACCCACTCCTAGTGATTGGCAGCAAGTACACTGGACAATACCCATATTTTTAACTGGACAATTCCAGGTTATTACTGGAAATCTCAGTCTTTGCAAGTGTTTTTAGCCCTCAGCATGATTCCTTACCGTCCCTTGGCTCTTTCTCCACCATCACCACCGACACCCACTCCCTCCAAGCATATTTGCAATAGCCACTTCAGTAACACGGGGTATCGGTTGGTTTGGTGACGGCTCTGAACTCAATCTGCCTGTCCTCAGATGTGCTGTATCCCACTTACGAGGTTTCAGGAGTGCTCATTAGTTCATTCTCTTCCTCTGTTCTTCAATTTTCTCTGTTCAGACAGTAAATAATCCTCGCATGTGGTGCTTACAAGAGCCACTGTTCATTTTTGTACGCTGCTAAACAACTGCCAAATGCAGCAGTGACCACATTTTATTGGTGGGTAAAATGAAACCTCTGTACACGGTCTGCAAGGATGCTTCAGAGTGGAGGGTGCTCAGCAAGTGTGGTCTATAATGTGCTGCCACCTAAAACTGCATTTTGACAAATGAGTGATATTTCGCCAAAAAAACCCTGCCACATTTTGAGATTTGGAAAAAATACCAAATCAAATCCATCCATTCTTTGCTTGTACAATCTTTTAAGATAAGTATTTTTGTTTTATTTTTGCATATCTGAATATACCTTTTTCAACTCACTTGACATATCCATCTTTCTGTGCCCTCACCAGGCCACCCGTAGAAGACAACCAAACCCTGCTGACTCCGGTGGTGAGCTGTGGCCCACCAGGAGCCCTGCTAACCCGGCCTGTCATTTTAACCATGCACCACTGCGCAGAGCCGAACACGGAGGACTGGCAGATCCAGCTGAAGCACCAGACTGCCCAGGGACCATGGGAGGTGAGGCTCCAGAGCTCCAGGCCTCATGCTGACTGCGTGTAGGGCTATCTGCTAGTTTTTCAGCTACTTTCCCAAACCGGGATGCCTGTATTTTGGATTTTCAGTGTGAGATGCGTGGCTGCTACAAGGAGGGGGGAATACCTTCAGCACCAAGTGTCTGAGCTGCCCAGTGCCCATGCAGAGATGCTGTCTTGGGGCAGTTCGGTGCTTCCTAGTTCTAGCTATTTTCTGTGAAATAGCTTTCATTGCAGGATTTTGGCACTTGAGCTTTATATCGTGGCATGATATTGTGCTGAAGTCATGGGGACAGAAAGGCAAAATATAAAACAATGGCTGAAAATAATTTCTGATTTGTCTCTAGAAATAAGAAAATGCTTTTTACGGAATAGTCTTCAGTCTTCTAGTTTTTCATCTGTTTTCAAGAAAGTAAAAATAATGATGCAGCAGGAGGATTTCCCGGGGCAGGGTGGCAGAAGGATCTTCCACTGTAACTGGAGCATAAAGTGATGCTTTTGGCAAGGCTGGGCCATCCTGGCAGAGCCCTTCTCTCCAGCCCTGTGCTTCTAGGTACCTGCTGCCACCAGTTTGGTCCCAAATAATTAATTTGGCAAGGGCACTTTCTCCTACTGGTAGGTTTAATAAGGTCAGGGTGGCTTCTGAAGGCAGCTGGGCTGACAGCAGCAGGAGCTCTGTGTCCAGCACTGCCTTTGAAAGGCCCTTGTGTTTGTCCCCTGCCTGTGGCACCGGCTCTTCTTCACACGGGGAAGGAGCCTGCAGCAAACACGGGCCTGTCTCGCCAACTAATCTACACCCCACCAGCCTGACTCTTGGCAACTCCCATATGTTCCTTATTTGTGCCTGTGCGTTGCTGGCACCTCTTCATTTTCTCTCCCATCCTCCTCCTGCCCTTGACAGAGCGGTTGCTCCGCTGGCCGTGCGCACGCTCTGGTGCCAGCGCAGCCTCCGTGGCGTCCACAGCTTAAGAAGTGAAGGGTGGTTATTTATTCAACACGCCTGTAACTACTGATGTCGGGCTGCCAGATGCGTACATTGTTCTGCAGACCCACAGGCAACAGGGATGAAACAGATGAGTTGTTCCAAGCATCGGGTGGCACGTGGTGGCTTTTCAAGTGGCGGTCATCATCCGCTGGTGCCTTTTTGCTTCTGCTCTCTCTCAAAGCCATTCAAAGAACTCCGTGTTGTGTGTTACACCACGTTACATGCAGGGTTGAATGGAAAAGTTTGCAGAGGAGCTGGTTTTCTTTATGCATAGGGTGGGGAGGTTGTCCTCACCCTGCAGTCTTGTCGTGGAGGTTTCTTCTAATGGAGCAGCAGATGATATTTCATGTGGATGTGGTATTCAGCCATCGTGGAGGTTACTTCCCTTCCCTGAGTTTTTATAGCTCCTTATTGTCATGCTTAAGAAGTGAAGGTTGTTTATTCAGCATGCCTATGACTACTGATATTAAATATCGGTCACTGGATGATTAGTTCTGCAGTATCTTTTTCAGCAAAGTATTGGTGATATTTTCATTATTTGCCTAACTCTGTCCAGGTCTACAAAAGCTGCTGCAGGGCCTAGTGAAAAGAGTTATGAGGCTTAGGGGAGTGAGGGCAGGAGGAAGTTTCTACCACCAGCATTCTAGAGAAATCATCCCTTCCCTGCGCTTACACAGGAGAAAAGCTGGAAGCAGGAATTTTGAATCTTGATTAATCTAAGGTGCAAACAGCAAAGACTTTGTGCATAATCCAGGCTTGAAAGGGACATTGCTGTCTCAAATGAGAGCAGCTCTGAGGGGTCAGGAGCTCTTACTTGGCCTCTTTCTCCCTTAGGATGTGGTGGTGGTTGGGGAGGAAAACTTCACTACTCCGTGCTATATCCAGCTGGACCCAGAGGCCTGCCATATCCTGACAGAAACCCTCAGCACGTATGCCTTGGTGGGACAGTCAATCACCAAAGCAGCAGCCAAACGTCTCAAACTGGCCATCTTTGGACCGCTGTCCTGCTCTTCGCTGGAGTACAGCATCCGGGTCTACTGCCTCGATGACACGCAGGATGCCCTTAAGGTAGTTGTTGCTCTCTCACTCTTTTTCCTTGCTCCCTCTCCAGCTCTCGCAGGACTGCAGTCAGAGCAGTGACTAGACCCTCCGCTCCATGTCGTCCTGCTCCCTGGGTTATTTTTCTGATTAGAAGAGCTTGACAACCAGCTGCTGTTCTACAATTTAACCCCCACACACTATAAATTATCCTTTGCATAGGGATCTCATACTATTTTCTGCTCTTTTGTTTACCTGTATTATATCCTGAATCCTAAGATTTTTGCATTATTAAAAGGCCATAAGGTACACATGGCTTCATTCCCTGTTCATGTATTTTTAATGCTAAGTGCCAGCTCCCCAGAGATGGGGAGACATATAAATGCTTCTTTGTAAATAGTTGATAATGATAGAAGAAGCTTCTGGGCTGTTAATCACTGCCTGCTTTCATACTGCCTTATTACACCTCTTTGCGTGCAGCTTTTTGTGTTGGGAATTTGCAACTGAAATAAACCAGAACTGTTGCTATCTCTAACTATATAACCTTACTCTCACTCTTGCATGCACACAAACACACACTCACTATGTGCAGATGAGCAGATAGATAACCATACTTGCTATTTCTCTTTACGAATACCTGTATTTATCCAGATGGTATCTATAATAGATGTACTCATGAAATATGTAACTCCAACCATACGTGAAAGAATGGAGGTTATTAAAAGGAGGATTTTTTTTTTTTTTAATCATAGGCACTGCAACTTCCCAAATGCCTCTTTGCAGCCATCTAAATTCAAAGTCTGACTCTAAGCTCAATCACCTTGGTGCTGTATATGCTTTTGTTTCCTCAGCTCTGCATGGGAATTACTGGGATTTAAACCCCCATATGCTGGCTGGGAGATGTTTGTGTTTTTCAGAGCAGTGACTTCCATTACTGTGAATGGCACGCTCTGCTTTCCTCCACAGTCCTAGCTGATACCAAGGACTGCCTGGACTTTTCTGGGGGAATACTCTTTCGCTATATGTAAGAAAGGCAGTAAAGTGTAAGAGTTGAAGCAGGCCTATCGTGACTCCAGCATGGTCTTGTCTGTACAGGGCCTTGGAGCTTGGCCTCTGCCCACGTGTTGGTGTTACCAGGCTTTTAGAAACATTTTTTTTTCCCCCAGTCTCGCTTCCCTTTTGTTTTTCCTCTTTAGAAGAAGCAAAAGGGATCTTTCATAGCGATAAAGCTTTGAAAGTCCTGACGGTTTTATGCCTGTGCTGTGTAATACAATTTTCCACAGGTTCACTGAGGCCTGAGGTAATAATAAGTGAGTCGGAGGGGCCTGGAACAGACAGCTAATGCAGTCAGAGCTGGGGGAATCCAATTAGGTGTGACTCAAGAGCTGTTGTTTTTTTTCTAATAGACTGTGGGCAGAGTCGTGAGGTAAAGTTAATCCAATTCAGTGCGATTAGCAGAAGGGATCAGGGGAGGTGCTGAGCGATACAGAGGGACCGTCTTTCACCTGAGAAGCTGTAGCCAATGTTTGGGAGAAGTCCTTGGACTTCTGCTGTAGGTAGACCCCAAAGTGAGCTTGTAATTCAGTGGAGAAAAGTGAGCAAAGTCAGGTGGCCACCATCCCACTTGTGCCTACCGCTTTTTTACAGCAAAGCACATGCAGTTTCATTTTTTTCTTTTTTGGCACATCTGTCCCAAGACTGGAAGGCCACCCATAGTTCAAGACCCAGCTAGCTGGTGGTTTACAGGAGGGCAAGCACAGGCGGTTGCTGGCCACAAGTTTCTATGAATGTATCAATTGCATGTCTCTGGAAATCCAAAGTCTGGGGAAGGAGAATGTTTAAGAAAAACGAACCTAGTAAATTAGCTGTAGATGAAAGAGTTGAGCGTGAGCCAGTGTGTATGGACCAGAGTCTACGGCCCAACCGTGTGCGATAATATTGTGTAGACTCAAACTGTGGCTATTTCAAAAGAAAAAAAAAAATAGTTGGGGTGTTGCCACGTGCTTTCACAATAACCAGCACCACAGCACCCCGTCCATGCTGGGAGGAGGCCCTTGGTGTTGCCATCTTGCAGAAACAAAGGCATTCACCAGGCGATGACCACTGGCTGTGCAGGACAAGACATGCAGATGGAGCTGGGCCAGCGAGGTTAAAAGTAATTTGGAGAGAGTAGGAAAGCTGTAGGGAGCAAACAAGGCACTGGCTGCACCATCTCAGTGTCTTGGGGCTGGTTGCTCCGGGTGTCTGAGATTTGGAATAGCTTTTGTAGGGGATTATGTTCATTTTAATAAGCAACAGAATGCATTCTGTTATTATTTACAACTAGTAAGGAGTGTGCCATATGCTGAATGTGTCCTAACAGCCACCAAAGGAAGAGAAGCAGTTGCAGTATAAACCACAGTGCAGTATTTATCCAGCAGGCTTTTCCTTCCCATCATGGAGAGTAAGCACTCACTGCCGAGCCACCGGTGCCCGCAGTACAGCAGGGAAGTGTAATGGCTTGTCATCAATAAGAGCTCAGTTATTGTGGGAGTGGCTTGGTGGGTTCCTAGGGGCTGTGGAGCAGTGGGCTCAGTGTTGATCACACGTGCAGCATCCTCTGCCCCACAGGGTCCCGAGCCACCTGGATGAGATGCTCATAAAAACACTTTTTGGGGAAAGGATGAGGGTAGTGATGACCTCAAGCACTGTCCTCTTTCTTAAAGCTGATTTTTGCACTTAGAGGGGGATGCCCACACTGGTCTGCTGTAAAAAACCCAACAACAAAACAAAGTAATAATACAGTAACTATAAAGACATCCAGCTGCTTTATTCTCATCTGTTTATTCACGTATGGCTTTGACATTGAGCTATGTGAGCTGCGTGCGGCAGTGTGGTGGCTGGGCTGAACAGCCTCACACACTGCGGGGTGAATGAATGATTTCAGGCTGCAGCAGGGTGGCATCCCCGAACCTGCCTCATGCTGCGCAGTAACTGTCCTCCAAAGGCAGGGAAAGGCATAACAGTCACGTAATCTTCTCTCAGTTATTTAATGCATATTTTTCCCTCTAGTGAAGAAAGGCAGCAGCTTAGACTGAACACTGCTTGGGTTTGCTTGTGCTCTGTCAAGGCAAATACAGGTTGTGGCTGTCCTGGTGATGCTGACAATGGAGCAATGCCTCACACAGCTCGTTCTTCTGGGAAGAGCATAAGGGTGTAATTCCCAGCTCAGCAGGGTGATGAGATGCGATGGGGAGGGTGGCCAGAGCCACCTCAGCATGGAGGAAGAAATGTGCCATTCACATCTTGGCTCAGGAGAGCATAGAGGCGCTAGCCAGTAGGATAAGCACTGCTCTACATAAAGTGCCGTATGGCTAAAGCCAGCCTGCAGGTTTGAAGGGCTGTTCAAATCGTGTCTCCAAATTAATTCTGAATTAATTAGCAGAGCAGCATGGGAGAAGCATGGGCTGCTTGGCATCTTCCAGTTGGAGCATGTAGGTTACGGTGATCAAGGGTGGTTACCAAAAGTGGGATATTGAAACTAGACACCCAGGTCTGGTGGGTGGTATGGGGTAGTGTCATTGCCATGGTTTTTTTCCCACAGTAGTGCAGCTCCCAAAGCCAGTTTTGCACAGCCAGGAGCAGTCGCTCGACCCCCTTGTGCCTGAGAGGTGGAGACTGCAATTAGCTTATGCAGTGCCACGCATCGTCTTCTGGCCCTTCCAGGGAGGTAATTTGAATGTAATGAAGATCTATAGTAATCAGATAATTACTATCGATTGCTCTTTAGACATCTTGACAAGGTAATTAGGGAGCACTGGAAAGAAGCTGGAATAGATTCATCGACATAACCTTATTCTAAAAGGTTTCCTGGTTTTGTTTCTTTTCCTCTAATGGCTGATAAGCCAACATTGTGTTAGCTTCAGGATCTGCCAGGTACTGGGACAGGGTCTTTGCTTGTATGCTAACTAGATCCTGAATGTGATCAAGGGTAGCTTGTTTTTTGCTTAGCTAAAAGAGAAGCTCCTTCAGTTGGCCTGGGGTAGCACCCTGGTTTCCTACTCTTTGAGAGTGCTCATTCAGTGCATGATTGCCTTTGGCCACATGAGGCTGGTTGATTGGGTGCCTTTTGTAACTAAATATGACTGAGATTGGCTGTGTTCATTTCTAACGGGACTCATGTAGGTGCCTTTGTACTTGCTTCTTCCATGTGGACTACAGTTAGGCTGTTTTTAAGCAATGGTCCACTGTGGTCTCATTAGTTACACGCATATATTTGTTTTTAGCTGCAGAAAGTGACCAAACTCTTGGCTTACTGGCTTTTAATTACAAGGTCAATATTTCAGTAACCGTGAACCTATGTGTTTGGATGTACAAAATGCTCTGTCACATTGCTTTGATAACCATCCTGATTGATGGTTGGTCTCAGAATAGACATCTGTTATCTCCTGTACTGCTCTGTCATTTGCCAGGAGGCCACAAGCTGAAGGATGAGTGGTACGCACAGATTCCATGTTTGCAGGACCTACACAAATCAGAGCTTCCAAAAACAAAACAGTAAAGCTACCATTAGATATTCAGTTTGATGAGCAATGGAGAAGACTGACATGTCCTATAAGCAGAAAGCTTAATTGCATGCTATTATATTGAATGTAAAGACTTTGCATTCAGGCACCATTTGAATACAGAAATACATCAGACAGCACTGTGTCTTCCAAAGGAGACATGGGTGCCTGCATCCCTGCTGGGCTGCTGCTGTGTGAAAGAGGTGAGGAGCTTATAACTGAGTTCCCCTAACACGATTCCAGTTCACAGGGAAACACAACTCTGTGCAATGCATGTGCACTTTTTCTTTTCCCTGTGTTACACAAGTTACAGCATCTACAGCAGTCATTCTGGAGGAGTCAGAAGACCAGTGTTCTTTCCTGATGAAACCTGACCACTTCTTTTTATCACAATACTGCAGGAGGTCCTCCAGCTTGAGCGGCAGATGGGCGGGCAGCTTTTGGAGGAGCCCAAAGCTTTGAATTTTAAGGGAAGCAGCCACAACCTTCGCCTGTCCATTCATGACATCACCCATTCTCTCTGGAAGAGCAAACTGCTGGCTAAATACCAGGTGAGCATCACAGACCATTCACATTGGATCCCAACAGTGCGGCTTAATGAAGTAGTGACACGCAGGGGTGCTTAAAAAACACCAGATGCCAGACTGCGGTCCAGTGGACAGTTTTTCCCCTGGACCATTTGCAGTGACAGCAGTGTGTAGCCCATGGTCTCTGGTCACACAGCATCCATGCCCTGGTCCTACATTCCTCCCTGACTATACTTCTTCTGCTTTCCTTCTGCAGGAGATTCCCTTTTACCACATCTGGAGTGGATGCCAGAGAAACCTGCACTGCACCTTCACGCTGGAAAGGTTCAGCCTGAATACCCTGGAGTTGGTGTGCAAACTCTGCGTGCGGCAGGTCGAAGGAGAAGGGCAAATCTTCCAGCTCAACTGCTCCGTCTCAGAGGTAAATGATGCTGGTGCACTTCTCTATCAGACTGCAGGAGTGTGGGAGGGCTGAGGAGGTGTATCGTTTCCCATTGCTACTGTTTAGTGCTTCCCATTTTCCTCCTGACTGCTGGGATGTATTTAAGGGATGGATTAAGTTGTTGCTTTGTATCTCCTGTTGCCTTTTTGTTTAGTTTCTCTCATCTCAAAGGGAGTGTGTCCCCCTCAAGGGAGGGAGGAGGGCAGCTATAGTCTCCTTGTCTTTCTGCGTCTATGTGGAGGAATTCTTTGCCTACCAGTCCCTAACACATCTTGTGAAGCACTGCTTCCTGGCAGTGCATGAGACTCTCATGGCTGATGTTTCCCTGGAGAGGGAGGAAGAGGAGTAAGAAAACGTCATTGCTGTGGATTTGCATGAGCCACTCCACTCTGGTCCTACATAACTGCTGTGCAAGAAGCACTATCAGATGGTCTAGCTGTGGTATACTTTTGTCCTCAGATTTTGCTACTGTGCCGATCCTGACTATTAGCTTCTACTATTTTTCTTTTAACAGCAGATATTTTCCAGTAGAAAAAGGATCATAAGTTTTGGAACACCTTTGCTGATGCTATGTAGCACCTGGAGAATTTTCACTCCTTGGGGCAGTCAAGCTTAGGGCTGAAGCAACATCTCCAGGCGTGAGTGGCATTGACGTCAGTGAACGTGCTGGTGGATTTTGTGCCTGGTACCCTTCAGCGGCTACAAAGAGCAGGCTCTCAGGCAGCAATTGCTGCTGACTGACTCGGGCAAGGGCTAGGAGACTACAGACAAAAGTTACTTGTGCTGTACGGCCTCAGTGGTGTGCACCATTGCCCATAACATCTGCTTGATTATTGCGTGTAAACTTGCATATTCAGCTGGGGACTACACAGCATTAAAGACAGATGGTAAAACAAGTATCATAAACAATTATTGTAATAAGTGCTGCATTGAGGTAATCTCTAATTTAACCTCACGGAGAAGAAAAAGAACTGAGAGTAACTTTAATGAAATGCAAGTACACACTATAATCATCTTCAGCTGCTTGTGTGTAATAGGGCCTAGTAATGGATTCAGTGGGAACAGGATAATATTCTTGTCTTGTGCTGTGATCCCATCCATCAGGGATGAATAGAAAGAGGAAATAATACCGCCACTATCAGGGCTGCCTCTTGCAAAATTGCTCCTCCTGGTTGATATGTAGTGATGCTCGGGAGCTGAAGCGAGGGGCAGGAGGACCTTGGTCTGCTAAGGGCTGGTCTCACTGGTTTGATGACAAAAGCTACCTGGAAGTTTAATAACAGCATACATTTTTTGGAGGGGAACCAAAGACTGCACATGACCATGAGTATCTCCAACAAGATTTCTAGAGGATTTGTGATGGCAGCTCTAGCCAGACATTACCTGATTTTGAGGCATTTTCAGGTTTTACAGGAGCTTCCCAGCAGCCAGCTTGATATGAAGAAACAAGGCAGCTCACAGAGGAGAAAACAAACTGATATTTAAGCTAGAGACCTTCTTTCTACCTTCCTGTGGGTGCTAAATCCTTCCAGGCCAAGGAAGAGATAAAATTCTTGCCCAGTAGAATCAACCAATTGTTATTCCCACCGGGGCCACATTATACACACAGACACACAGAATGTTCGGGGTTTGGAAGGGACCTCAAAAGATCATCTAGTCCAGCCCCCCCCCGCCAAGAGCAGGATCACCTACAGTAGGTCACACAGGAACACGTCCAGGCGGGCTTCGAATGTCTCCAGAGGAGGAGACTCCACAACCTCCCTGGGCAGCCTGTGCCAGTGCTCTGTCACCCTCACAGTGAAAGAGTTTTTTCGAGAATTTTTGTGGAACCTCCTTGTTCGAGCTTGAACCCATTGTCCCTTGTCCTGTCATTAGACGTCACCGAAAAGAGCCTGGCTCCCTCCTCCTGACACTCCCCCTTGACATATTTATAAACATGAATGAGGTCACCCCTCAGCCTCCTCTTCTCCAAGCTCAAGAGACCCAGCTCCTTCAGCCTTTCCTCCTAAGGCAGATGTTCCACTCCCTTCATCATCTTTGTGGCTCTACGGCTGTGTCATGGGGAGCCTCACAGCTGGGAGGCATCAGAGAGCATCAACCCTGTACCCACAAAGAACAGGCTGGCTTCGGAGGTGACTTTCCCCTTCAAATGCCACTGAGCACAGTCCTGGTCTCACAGAGGAGGGCAGCAGCTGCCCCCGAAGCACACATGCTCCATCTGTCTCCAGCACCACTTCCAGGTGGTTTAGCTGTGAAGGGACCAGCTTGTGCCTGGGGCGGTATTAACCATCTCTCTGTGGTCTGCCCAGTGTCAGAGGCTTCGGAGAGCCCAGGTGCTGCCAAAGGGGTGTCAGCAGCATAAGCCTGGTGCTGGTGTCATGTGGGGTGGGGGGACTTGAGGGTCCTCGAGGAAGAGATTCCTGCCAGCCAAGCCAGAACAGCTCTGGTAGTAGCAATTTGCTCTGAAATGTGTCAAAAGTGCCTGATCTTTCATTATTTCCAGTAAGTGATTAATAAAGCTGGCTCAATTTTGTCCAGCTGTGGTAATCTTCACCCTAAAAAAAAATTAAAGGGGGAGGAATAAATTCTGCTCTCTACCCAAAGTCGGTTATAAATATTTCCCTTTTTCAGCTGGCTAACATAAACATTGATTAGCAGAGGCCTGCTCCCCTCTAATGCGGGTGAAAACACTGAATCTCAGAGGATACACTTCTACAATCATCTCTGCACTCGGTAACAAAGCTGCTGTATTTATAAACTATTTTTTTTACTTTCTTTTCAGGAACCTGCTGGCGTCGACTATCCTCCTATGGACTCAGCAGGCACCATCACCACCATAGTAGGGCCCAGTGCTTTCAGCATCCCCCTCCCGATAAGGCAGAAGCTGTGCAGCAGCCTGGATGCGCCCCAGACCCGAGGCCACGACTGGAGGATGCTGGCCCACAAGCTCAAACTGGACAGGTGAGAGGGGCTGCCTACGTGTGGTGGGGCGGCAAAACTCCCCCCCACCCTGGAGGTTCTGTGCAAAAGGGGCCCAGTGAAGACGAATGGCAGCAGATGTGTCTACAGGCTGGTCAGACCGACCACACAGGAGATGCCCGTCCCCATTGCCAGTGCTGTAGAGGTGCTCTGGAATCATGGAAATTCAGGTAGCCCTCACACAGCTCAAAAAAAATCCAGCGAGTTTCCTTTTGGCTTGTTGCAGGTACCTAAATTATTTTGCTACGAAATCGAGTCCCACCGGGGTGATCCTGGATCTCTGGGAAGCCCAGAATTTCCCTGACGGCAACCTGAGCATGCTGGCAGCAGTTCTGGAAGAAATGGGAAGACACGAAACCGTTGTTTCTTTGGCAGCAGAAGGAAATTACTGACGCAGCCTTGGCGTGAACAGGGAGGACAGGCACAGGGAGCGGTAATGCCCTGTTATTACAAGTGAGAATTGAAATGAAAACCCAGACCAATGAGTTGCACGAGAGACATTTCAGAGAAGAAAGCAAGCAAACAAACAAACAAAAAAACCAACCCCAGCCCTGACCTTCACACGTGCTCTCCTTGTACATTATCACACGATCTAAAAGAAATCATGCAAAGTTGTACCTTGAAAATATAAATCCAACCTAATGTTCCTCTCAGCTTGGCTGTACACTGCTTGGTACAGGATTTTACAGTTTCCTAGGAAACGCTTTTTATTGCTATCCAGATATATGGATAAACTTTCTTAACGGTCCCAGTTTCTATGGATGTTGTTTACATCAAATTCTGGACAGGGGTAAGGAGACTGTCCATGGCTCTTTATATTTTTTGTTTAAAGCCATTCTAGACAAGGCTATGGACAGTTGGTTGTGGCTATTTCAGCTTATTGGTTTCTGGTGAATTCAGATTTTTGGCTACAATTCTGCACATCGATTGTCTCACAATGATCCTCCTGTCATTGTTCTGTTTCCTAGACCTACTTGTAAAAAAAAAACCACAAAACCAACACAAGAAAATCAGAGTTTCAGAGGTGTGCATCTGGAAAGCAGATACTCTGGGTGCTAAGCAGGAACACACATAATGTCCCCTTCCTTCCCCGATCAAGTGCCACTGAGCTTGTGTGGAGAACATAGGATCGGAGTTAATTTTTGATTCACGCCCTTTCCACTCCTTTGCGATGTGAGGGGGATGGATATGCAATTCAAAGTGGTTAGGGGAAAAAAAAAGAAACCTGGAAAAAAATAAAGAAGAGAAGTTGCTATGATAATTATTTACTAATTAGTATCTAGTGCAAGGATTATAATGATTATTATTATTATTATTATCATTATTACTTTGTTTCTAATTTTGTCAGCAGCAGAATGAATCATTCCTGTTTTTATGGAGCTTGTTGTCCCCTTCCTGAAGGTCTTCTAAACTGTGTCCCTCTCTATGCTGTCTGTCCTGACCTTCTCCTGCCATCATACGCCTCCTCCAAAGTCCTCTACTCGCCCACGTGGGTTGCTCACCTTATGTTAGCATTGCTGTGCCTCATGCCCAACACACATGTGGTACAAGCCGGTGACGCTCCGCTGAAGTCACTGATCTGCACCCGCAAACCTAACACCCTTCCCTGGGATGTTTTACAGCACCTTGGTGCCTCCAGGTTGCTCCAAGAAGCAATCCTGTCCTGAGGTGCTTCATCCCCCAGTCTGAATCCCTGTGGACCGCCGGTTCAGGAGCCCAGGTGCAAGCACGTGGAGGCACTGATGCTGATCACCTGATCTGTGCATGCAAGGTGGGCATCCTTGTGTCTTGCTTTGACTGGAGGCGGTCTGAGAGCCAGCAGCTCCCATTAGCTTCCCACGGAGCTGCAGGTACTCACTCTTGCTGAAAGCCACCACCTCCCATAATGTTTGCAGTAGTCAGGGCTACTGGGCACTCTCCACTGGGTCATTTTTGGGTGAGATGCACTTGGCAGATCTCCACGGGTACCCCCAGGCTTGGGGCAGCCAGGGAGGCCTCCACCATGTGGGCTAGGGTAGGATGATGGAGCAGTGAAGTCGAAATCCCTTGTGCTGCAGTGTTCTGCCTTCACTGCTCGCTCTCTCTGTGCCACTGATGCCTGGGTGGGGTGGTGCAGGTCCTCGCTGGCTGACCAGGAGGACATTTGTCCCTCCTCAGCCACCTCCCTCTTGGCCACCAGAAACAAGTCAAGTGGGAATTTGTCAAAAGGTGTGAACTCTTGCTTTTTTTATGGTTGTCACTGCAAACATATTTTATTTTTCTACTCAGTGAAAAGACTGAGTCTTTGGTACATGACAGCACATAGGATCACAGTAGTTTTACTGCCAGGCTTGTCTGTCCTCTATTTGTGGTGCAAAAAATTACTTCTTCCCCAGGGAAGAAGTACTTCTTTCCCGTCCATTCCAGGTTTCCAGCCAGGCCCTGGTTGTTGCTGTTGTGCACACATGCATGACCCTGCCCACGCACGTATTCCCGCTCCATGTGCTTCCTGAGACCAGAGTTGGCTTGTTTTCTTTTGTGTTTTTTGCTTTTGATTTTTCCCCAGGGCTTTCCAGGTTGTGGCTTTAGAGGTAACTTTGAAAATGTCATTGGTCATAATGAAAGGAAAATTTCATCTGACCTTTTTCCTATTTGACATTTCCATAGGCTTGGGACTTTCTGGTTTTCTTTTCTCAGTTCCCTGATACCAGCAGGGTTTTGATTGACTACTGGGCAGCTATCACAAAGCGCTCACTTCCTTGTACGAAGTAACTTGGCAGTTTGCAAATCAGCCTTTCAGTGAAAACCAGAGACTGGAGGAGATACATTTTAACTTCTAAGGTCTGTCTGCGTTTCACCTGTGTAAGCTCCACCTCCTCTTAATGTGGTGATATCAAGGGCATCCTTTCAACAAAGATCCATCTTCTTTTTCACCTTGGGCATCCAACACAGCCCATTGCAATGCTAGGGTCTTTTCCAACCTGAATTGTTCTATGATTCTAGCGGAAATCTTGCTTTCAGCTTCAGGAGGTTTCGACTGGGGCTTCTAGCTCTGCCCTTACCCTGTGTCTTTTACTCACCTCAGAGCTCTAAAATGGCTCTGAAAAGATAGGTCTCACCTTTTTTCCTTCCTGTGCCATCCTCAGGTGTATTTAGGTCATGCTTCTTCTCCCTTCCCATGTGTCTTTCCCATGTGACTCCTCTTCCAGGGCAGGTGCATGAGCTGAAGTGCCCTTTGGCCCCTTCCCCTCTACAGCAAAGTCTTTGTTAGCTGATGTGAGGCTCACTGGTACTCTCAGCTCTCAGCTTTTGCTGGGTGGGCAGTGTGTGCACCCCTCTCACTTGCCAGAAAGTGTCACATGGTTATCTGTAGCGCTACGAGTCAATCTGCCTTTTGCCAGCTCTTTGACCAGCTCTTTGACCAGCTCTTCGACCTACACTCTCAAGGAAAACAGATGAGCAGCTTTCTTAAAGTATTCTAGGGAATTTTCATGTCGTGGCATCACTATAAAGGCGATTCATTGACAGGAAAAGATGCTGTCATTAAGAGGAGCACCCACAGAGCTGGGTGGAGGTCGAGAATGTCAGGGGTGGCTAGGGCAGTGGCATCACTGTCACTGGTAGGTGGAGCTGCTCTTCTTCCATTCCAACTGCTCAGAAACATTCCTTCACCTGACGCAATCATGGGCTGGATGGTTTCTCCAGCTCCTGCTCTGTTCAGCCTCAACCTGGCCAGGGCAGGGAGGAGCAGGGGCTGCTGAGGTCAAGGAACTTTCCTTCACAGAACCCCACCTCGTCCCAGCAACTCCATGCTCGTGCTTTGCCACCGCTGCTATTAGCAGCTCCCACCTCACTCAATGCTCCCCTTCCATTAATTTTGCTTTTTTTGTCTTTTTTTTTTGTCTTTTTTTTTTCATGGGGCACAGCTGTGGCAGGACAGGTGGAGAGAGGGTGCTAGCACAGACCGGTGGTCTGCGCGCCTCAGCATCCCCATCCCGCTGCTCCAGGTAAGGAAGGAAAGCGGCCAGATCCGCTTGGGATATTATTTTTTGTGAGAGAAAACCAGCAGCAGTGCCCCAGCCTGGCTGGCGTGGACACAGTGCCATCTCGTGGGGCTGAGCCCCGGCTCCAACGTGCTGATGATGAAGGTCGCTCAGGAAACAGCGTTCCAAACCAGCGGCTCTTGAAAATGGCAAATAAGTTTGGCAGACAGAACCGACTCTTAAGTTATTGTAATATTTTATGTCAGGTAAGCACATTCTGCTTTTTAAAAAAAAAAAAAAAAGAAAGACAAAAAAACCCCCACAAAAACAAATGGCTGCAGGCTTCTTATCCTCCAGTTATTACTCCTTTTTAAAATGCTTATCCTTTTAATTGTCCACCTTCAGCTATGTGCTGTAGCAGTTTTGCTGCTCTTCACGCCATCTCTTAATTACATGTTCATTGCTAGCACTATAAATAATATATATATTATATAAATATATATAAAATATCTACTGACTTCAAGGAAAACCTTTAATTTCCAGGTAAGAAACACTATCGGAGAAAGTCTTTTTCACCTGATTTTTTTTTTCTCAGTTCTTCTTGTGTTGTGTTCATGTAAAGGTGGTTGTCAGTGTATAGGGTAAGTTTGAGGGTTGTTTGGGTTTTGGTTGTTTGGGTTTTTTTC